ACAGAGTCGGTGCAGAGAAAGCATCCTGCAGGTGGACGACCTGAACTCTCAGCACAGAAACAACAAACTGTTTGCTGAGCAGTTTCAACCGACAGTCTCAAGACAGCCGATTAATTATATAAAATATAACTGTAAAATGTTTTATAAATGGAAATTAAAAAAAATCCATTCAGAAATGAAACTTTAAAAAAATGTTTTAATGTTTTTTTTTTTCAAAATATTTGTTTTTTGGTTTCAGTTTGACTTTATAGAGTTCATGCATTTCAATTTGCCTTTTCAAGATCAGATTCTGTTTACTTCTGGGGGCGGGCTTTCCTCTGGAGGGAGGAGCAAAAATGCATTTCTATTGGTCTACTGAATGTTAGCAGCATTTCTATTGGTCCAGACCGAGCCTTTGGGTTTGGCTTTAAGTGAGGAGAGTGTCATCAGTAAAACACAATTTATAAATGCTGAAATTTGTAAAACTCAATCTAAAAAACCGAAATTTCAAGAAAACAAATTTCTTGGAAAATAAATAAATCTAAGAAAACAGCAAAGTTCCTCTTACATTGTTTTTATTGTCTGCTGGATGTTAGCAACCATTATTATTGGGCAATGTTGTTTTAACAGTGAATGATTATTCAGGATTTGATATTAAGATAATCATTTCTGCTTCAAACGATTTTAAAGTTACTTTTCTGGATTATATATTTTATAAAAATTTCCATTTTCAAAACCTATTCCTTGCTTGCATCAATAATGGAACTAAATTCACTCCATAGAGTCCCAAACTTGCCTCAACATGTTGCTCAGACGACCTGAAATCCCTCAGAGAGCAGACTTTCAATGATTCCAGAAGGCGGAGAACATCGTTAGACCTGGTTAGATTATGGCATTGAAAATGGCCCTGCAGAGGATAGTGAGGGGAGCCCCACTCATTCTTTCAGTAGGAACAGAATATCTGCAAAAAAGCGACCAGAAAAGCAACAGCAGAAGCTGCTATAAAGTTTTTTGGCCTTTTCAAAATGCTTTTTAAATGTTTTTTATATTTATTTTAATTTATCTCTTGTTTTCACTTCAATCTGCTAAATGATCCCAGGAAGAAAATATGTGGTTTTTGGTCCTTTTATCTTTCTAATCAAAAAAGCATAAACTATTTACTTGTTTTTTCTTCTCGCCCTGTGAAGACGGTCATCTTCTGGTTATCACCTCTCCACAGAAAAGCTCCTGCTGATCCTCAGGAGGCCTCTTGATCCGGTAGCAGAACATCCCAGAAGATGATGAAGATGATGTAGATGATGAAGAGAATGTGGGGGAGCAGCAGAACCGTTTGATCTTTATTCACTCGATCATCTAAACATTTGTCAGCTCTAGAAACAAGATCATTAAAAATAAATAAAGAGGTTCAGGCGTTCCATCCCACTCATCAAATTAAAATACATCATTCTTCCAACAAATAGAACATAACTAAAGCAGAAAACATTCCTTAAATGTAAGGATTAATATTCAGTTATAAAACAAGAAAAGAAAAAAACAGATGCCATTCAAAAGTACAGAGTTATTTATTTTATACTCATGTCAGGGGCGGATTTAATACATTTGGAAATGTGGTGAACAACAAGTTGGGGCAGCACCAAGTCCAACCACAAAATATATTAATTGTCTAAATGAAACTAATTATTTTTGATGTTTTTTTTTCTTAAATACCAACAGGCCATAATGAAAATGAGCTTAAATGAAACAAAACTGTAGCGGGTTTTAAGCAGCGCCTCAAAAAAAAAAAAAGTAACTTTAGCTGCTGGACGCGCCTCATCAACCAATCAGAGAAGCTGATCTGGGAGCTGGCAGGGAGTCAGACGCAGCACTGCTGATGCAGAGCGCTATGATCACTCCTCTGAAACAGTTTATTAACGCCTAAATTAACTTCAAACGTAGAAACCTGCCGGCAGAATATGTTGGCTTTTATTATCCTGCTGCCTGCAGTTTGTAGCACAGACCTGAAAAACGCTAACATCTACTTCCAGCCGCCACCAACAGGAGGGGAAAACCCCCAAGAGGCGAGCGGGCATGAGGCAGCTGCTGCTGGGGATTCCCAGTGACAGCGCAGCGCCGGTATGTGGGGGTCTGAGCGGCTCCCACAGAGAAATAATCTTTGAAGGCAGGATGGTAATCTGGATGAACTGACTGCACAGACCATGGCCGTTTCTCAATATGCGTTCTTGAGCGTTCTTGTGTACTCGTGACACGTCATCAGCCTCAGCCCGAGTACCGTTCCAATTCTCAAGAAGGCCTGATCGAGAACGCAAAAAATCCCCGGATGTTGTTCTCACCCCGCCCTCTTTATCGAGCATGCATCAGAGCAGACTTGTGCGTTCTTCAGACTGGCCGCTTCCCCAGAATGCCCCGCGGCCGCAGCTTGATTCCAGACAGCGCTCACAGTGGTAGGTTAAACATTCCCTTTTCTGCTGCTGTTGTTCTTCAAAAGTACGTTTTGAAATCGTTTGAGGCGATAACATTATACATTGAAGCCTCCCTGTGTGGTCTGTTTACAGAGTTAGTGCGAAATTTAAAAAAAAGTCTGACGTTGAGTGGCCCAGAGTGACCAGCAGACCTCCAAGGGTAACCGCAGCCAGGGCTAAATTTACCCCGTCTGTAGTGCACTTCTCTCGGTCTAGTTACGTGTGAACTACCGCTCTTTCTGATGGCGGTTTTTTGCGGTTCGGTAATTTTTTTAATGTTTTTTAAGCTTTAGAAATTTAAAATATTGTTTTCAAAATGTTTTGTGTAGGGAATAAATAGTTTTGACTGTTAAAGAAAAGCTAAACAACGTTGCCTGTGATGACGTCACGAGTACGCTTCTGCTCCAGTACACATACGTGCTTGCGTGCTCACGTTCTCGTCAAGTCCGATCTTCCTGCGTTCTCGCCAAGAACGGACTTGACGAGAACGCGAGTACGTATTGAATTGAGAAACGCCTCATGTTTTCAGGAGGACTTTCTCACTTCAACATAGATTCTAACTACTTTTTACCCGCTGATCACAGCTAATATAGCTGCCATTGTTCCAGGCAGAGAAAGGATAGGGTAGCTCCGCCCACTGCGTGTAGTGGGGGAAAAAAAGTATTCAACTATTCATCCTAGTTAAATAAAAGGAGATCGATGGATTTCACTCAGTCGGCACATTTATTCATATCTTTGCAAAGAACAGTTCATCATACGGCCCTTATGGCACAGCATTCTGCCCTGTTCTGATCTGGGCAGCGTTCGTTCCTCCTTACTGACAAAAATGGAAAAGTAGTCAGAGTCAAAACAAATTACAGACACTTTGGTTAAACAGTAACATGTTATGAATAAACTTTGAGAAAGAATCTGGTTTGTTATGGGAAGAAGCTATGTCTGGTCTACAAACACCATCCTGCAGAGAAATGTGTGGCCTTGAGAGAGAAACAGACTAATTGAACACTTTTATAGTGAATAAATAGAATAAATTAATATATAATTAAAAGAGAAATCTAAATTTTCCAACAACACGTGCATCAGACCACTTTTCCACCGCGCAGTTAGAACAGCAAAGATGCTTCAGCCGCGCGTCAGAACTGGAGTAATGTAACTAAAGTAATCCCTCCCTGGGATTATTAAAGTATTTCTGATTCCTGGTTGATGGGACAGGTGTTGTGAATGAAACGGTGCCCAGCTTGAAAGAGCTCCTGTGTGTCGCTGAATGTGAGCATTGATGACTGAAAGAGATCTGCCTCCATTTATCTGTTTACTACAGTCTGTTGGATTCATGTTCATGTGGATTTAAAGACATTTCTATTAGTGGAAAAAATTGCAGGGAGGAATATAAAAAAGTCTAATCAACCAAAACTTTCACAACCCCCATGCAGTTCCTCCATGGACCCCCTAGGGGTCGTGGACCCCCTGTTGAAGACCTCCGATCTAGAGCTTCACCTTTTAATAAGGTTTATTCTTTCCCACAGCAATCCGTGCTTCACCATCTGCTGCAAACGGCTGCAGTGGACCAAACCAAACGGACAGAACTGCAGGATCTGTTTCAAGCATGACACCTGAGACTCTCTGCTCCTGGACAGCAGCTCTATGAACGCCACAAACACGGCTCCACTCCTGTCGCTTCACTGCCTCATTCGGTCGGAGGAGCTTTCACCTCAACATGGCGGACCTGAGTTCCAGGAGCGAGTTTCAGTGGAGATCAGAGGAAGAAAGCCGACAGAGCGAGAGGACCTCCGCCTAGCAGAGGAGCTGGGGGGCCGGGGTCAGCGGGTACAGCTGCCCTTTGGGGGCTAAATGAAAAACCCACACAGAGCATTCCTTCATTCATCCTGTCAGAATCATCTTTTCTTAACTTTTATTGATCAAGGTTCGTCCCTCTGTCCTCTTCCACCAAACATTATACAGCCACATCCAGTCCCTGACTGCTGGTTAAAACACCATAGAAAAGTTTAAATTTTTAAACTCCAGTGACGGCTGATAAACTTCCTGCACAGGTGCTGTAATTCTCCATAATCGTGCATCGCTAGAAGAGCATCAATCGCATTGCTTTGTTTCTAAGGAACACCTTTCAGCACCGGAAAACATGGAAATCCCTGGAATCCCGGTCAGAGTAAATGCTCTGTCTCTGTTTCTTTATTCTCTGACTCCTCAAACTAAACATCTAAAGACTGCGCTTAGAATCTATTTATTTAGACTCTATTTCCTTAAAATCTGTTTCCTTACACTCTGTTTCCTTAGACTCTATTTCCTTAGACTCTATTTCCTTAGACTCTATTTCCTTAGACTCTGTTTCCTTAGACTCTGTTTCCTTAGACTCTATTTCCTTAGACTCTATTTCCTTAGACTCTATTTCCTTAGACTCTGTTTCGTTAGACTCTGTTTGCTTAGACTCTGTTTCCTTAGACTCTGTTTCCTTAGACTCTGTTTCCTTAGACTCTGTTTCCTTAGACTCTATTTCCTTAGACTCTATTTCTTTAGATTCTGTTTCCTTAGTCTCTATTTCCTTAGACTCTATATTTCCTTAGACTCTATTTCCTTAGACTCTGTTTCCTTAGACTCTGATTCCTTAGACTCTATTTCTTTAGATTCTGTTTCCTTAGACTCTATTTCCTTAGACTCTGTTTCCTTAGTCTCTATTTCCTTAGACTCTATTTCCTTAGACTCTGTTTCCTTAGACTCTGTTTCCTTAGACTCTATTTCCTTATACTCTATTTCTTTAGATTCTGTTTCCTTAGACTCTATTTCTTTAGATTATATTTCCTTAGACTCTATTTCCTTAGACTCTGTTTCCTTAGACTCTGTTTGCTTAGACTCTGTTTCCTTAGACTCTGTTTCCTTAGACTCTGTTTCCTTAGACTCTGTTTCCTTAGACTCTATTTCCTTAGACTCTGTTTCCTTAGACTCTATTTCCTTAGACTTTGTTTCCTTAGACTCTGTTTCCTTAGACTCTGTTTCCTTAGACTCTATTTCTTTAAACTCTGTTTCCTTAGACTTTATTTTCTTAGACTCTATTTCCTTAGACTCTATTTCTTTAGATTCTGTTTCCTTAGACTCTATTTCTTTAGATTCTGTTTCCTTAGTCTCTATTTCCTTAGACTCTATTTCCTTAGACTCTGTTTCCTTAGACTCTGATTCCTTAGACTCTATTTCCTTAGACTCTGTTTCCTTAGACTCTATTTCTTTAAACTCTGTTTCCTTAGACTTTATTTTCTTAGACTCTATTTCCTTAGACTCTATTTCTTTAGATTCTGTTTCCTTAGACTCTGTTTCCTTAGACTCTGTTTCCTTAGACTCTGTTTCCTTAGACTCTATTTCCTTAGACTCTATTTCTTTAGATTCTGTTTCCTTAGTCTCTATTTCCTTAGACTCTATTTCCTTAGACTCTATTTCCTTAGACTCTGTTTCCTTAGACTCTGTTTCCTTAGACTCTATTTCCTTAGACTCTATTTCTTTAGATTCTGTTTCCTTAGTCTCTATTTCCTTAGACTCTATTTCCTTAGACTCTATTTCCTTAGACTCTGTTTCCTTAGACTCTGATTCCTTAGACTCTATTTCTTTAGATTCTGTTTCCTTAGACTCTATTTCCTTATACTCTGTTTCCTTAGTCTCTATTTCCTTAGACTCGGTTTCCTTAGACTCTGTTTCCTTAGACTCTATTTCCTTAGACTCTATTTCTTTAGATTCTGTTTCCTTAGACTCTGTTTCCTTAGACTCTGTTTCCTTAGACTCTATTTCCTTAGACTCTGTTTCCTTAGACTCTATTTCCTTAGACTCTGTTTCCTTAGACTCTGTTTCCTTAGACTCTGTTTCCTTAGACTCTATTTCCTTAGACTCTATTTCCTTAGACTCTGTTTCCTTAGATTCTGTTTCCTAAGACTCTGTTTCCTTAGACTCTGTTTCCTTAGACTTTATTTTCTTAGACTCTATTTCCTTAGACTCTATTTCTTTAGATTCTGTTTCCTTAGACTCTGTTTCCTTAGACTCTATTTCCTTAGACTCTGTTTTCTTAGACTCTATTTCCTTAGACTCTGTTTCCTTAGACTCTGATTCCTTAGACTCTATTTCTTTAGATTCTGTTTCCTTAGACTCTATTTCCTTAGACTCTGTTTCCTTAGTCTCTATTTCCTTAGACTCTATTTCCTTAGACTCTGTTTCCTTAGACTCTGTTTCCTTAGACTCTATTTCCTTAGACTCTATTTCTTTAGATTCTGTTTCCTTAGACTCTATTTCTTTAGATTATATTTCCTTAGACTCTATTTCCTTAGACTCTGTTTCCTTAGACTCTGTTTGCTTAGACTCTGTTTCCTTAGACTCTATTTCTTTAAACTCTGTTTCCTTAGACTTTATTTTCTTAGACTCTATTTCCTTAGACTCTATTTCTTTAGATTCTGTTTCCTTAGACTCTATTTCTTTAGATTCTGTTTCCTTAGTCTCTATTTCCTTAGACTCTATTTCCTTAGACTCTGTTTCCTTAGACTCTGATTCCTTAGACTCTATTTCCTTAGACTCTGTTTCCTTAGACTCTATTTCTTTAAACTCTGTTTCCTTAGACTTTATTTTCTTAGACTCTATTTCCTTAGACTCTATTTCTTTAGATTCTGTTTCCTTAGACTCTGTTTCCTTAGACTCTGTTTCCTTAGACTCTGTTTCCTTAGACTCTATTTCCTTAGACTCTATTTCCTTAGACTCTATTTCTTTAGATTCTGTTTCCTTAGTCTCTATTTCCTTAGACTCTATTTCCTTAGACTCTATTTCCTTAGACTCTGTTTCCTTAGACTCTGATTCCTTAGACTCTATTTCTTTAGATTCTGTTTCCTTAGACTCTATTTCCTTAGACTCTGTTTCCTTAGTCTCTATTTCCTTAGACTCTATTTCTTTAGATTCTGTTTCCTTAGACTCTGTTTCCTTAGACTCTGTTTCCTTAGACTCTATTTCCTTAGACTCTGTTTCCTTAGACTCTGTTTCCTTAGACTCTGTTTCCTTAGACTCTATTTCCTTAGACTCTGTTTCCTTAGACTCTGTTTCCTTAGACTCTGTTTCCTTAGACTCTGTTTCCTTAGACTCTGTTTCCTTAGACTCTATTTCCTTAGACTCTATTTCTTTAGATTCTATTTCCTTAGACTCTATTTCCTTAGACTCTGTTTCCTTAGACTCTGTTTCCTTAGACTCTATTTCCTTAGACTCTATTTCCTTAGACTCTATTTCCTTAGACTCTGTTTCCTTAGACTCTATTTCCTTAGACTCTGTTTCCTTAGACTCTGTTTCCTTAGACTCTGTTTCCTTAGACTCTATTTCCTTAGACTCTATTTCCTTAGACTCTGTTTCCTTAGATTCTGTTTCCTTAGACTCTGTTTCCTTAGACTCTGTTTCCTTAGACTTTATTTTCTTAGACTCTATTTCCTTAGACTCTATTTCTTTAGATTCTGTTTCCTTAGACTCTGTTTCCTTAGACTCTGTTTCCTTAGACTCTATTTCCTTAGACTTTGTTTCCTTAGACTCTGTTTCCTTAGACTCTGTTTCCTTAGACTCTGTTTCCTTAGACTCTATTTCTTTAAACTCTGTTTCCTTAGACTTTATTTTCTTAGACTGCGGATCATTAAATCCCATTTTAAGGCTCATAGCTTCTTATTCAGTCGTTCTAATATTTTGAAAAGGAAAACTGAGGATTTTCAGATCTAATTTGTTCGACTTCAGTCATTTTTCTGCGTTGAACTTGTTCTTAAAATCACAAAGTTAAACCCACTCCTCTTAGAGCCCCCCGCCACCCCCGCACACACACACACACACACACCAAGCCCCCCGCCTCGCTCCCTCCGTCTCACACTGTGATTTATACACACAAGATGTTGCACAATAGGAGCCTTGTTTGCTAAATGGGATAGCCTTAATGGAGACTTATATTTCCAGGATTATATCTGTATTCAGTTGCAAATTATTTGAGTGGTGGGGGGGGGCTTTTTTCAATACTCTTCCTCTGTCTATGAATAATAGTATCATTTGAATTAAGTGGACACCTGGTGCAGCAGCTACGGCTCCGAGGCGCGCTGTTGACCCGCCACCGCTGCCAACTTCCCTTTTTCCCAGCCTGGCCTTATTCGTCCCTCTGAGCCTCCAGATTCAGTTTCCCTCCAGCAAATGCCACACACTTGTAACTTTACTCTCCCTTCAGCTGAAACTTCCTTTCTAAAAGGTAAAAAAAAAAAAAAAAAAACTTTGAGAGAAGAGAGGGTGGAGGTGAAGAGGAGGGGGAGAAATTCTTATCAAGCTCCTCTTAGGTTTGGCCACATTGGTTTGAAAGCAGCGTGTAGAGTTTCAGGGAAACCTTCCAATTAAATACTGTAAAAAGATAAAATAACAGAGTCCCGGAGCTGCAGCTCGCTGGTATTAAAGCCCCCTTTTGTTGATTTATTGTACATTAGCCACTGAGCCATGCAAGGAAGAGGACATTTCAGAGGGGATTCTATTTGTATGCATCCTGCGTCGGCTCTGCACACAATCGGGCCTGTATTACGTTCTGCAAATTTATACCAGGATGTAGGTTTAGAGTGCCCCCACCCCCCCCCCCCACCCCCCCACCCCCCCCACCCCCACCACCACCACCGCCAACCCCGCTTCACTCGCCCCCTGAAAGAAAAAGAAAGTTTTTCAAGTGTCTGCTTTCATGAGCACAAGTGATTGAGGTTGACAAACAAAGCTTTGTTTCTCCTCTCACAGATGTACAGCCCTGCTGCACATCCCTGAGACGCTTTCACAGATTTCTGCTAGAGCCCCACCATCGTGGGGACCGTGTGGAGATACTCCTGGAGTGGACATCCAATAATAAGCAAAGCTTTTCCCAGGGCTGTATTTCCACCCAGGAGGAGGAAGCTCTTTCCAACCACAGATCAGATAAAAACGAAGGAGCTGTTGTTTTTATTTTTTTCTGTTCCTTGCTGTGAATTTTCCTTCAAGAAAGACAATCTGAGAATCCAGAGATGTTGGTTATAATAAAAGGTGTTTTTTCATCACTCTACCTGGTGTCTATATAGACATATATTCAGTTAGCTTAGCATCTTCCTCGCTATAAATCCAAGCTGTTCAGATTCGTCCAACAAGCCAGAAACATCCCTGACCTGCAGAATTGGGATTCATTGTCTTTGACATATAATTCAAGTATCCGCAATGAGACACAGTCAGGGGGGCATTTACCATTTGGCAATACCAGGCAGTTGCCTAGGGCCCCAAGTTCCTGGGGCCCCATAAAACTCTGTTTCTATGTATGGTTAATACAACTATTCCTTATTTGTGCACATTAATTATGTTTTTGATAAAAATCCTTTGGCTAAAATGCCATCAGAACGCTGATAATATTAATTGTGTCTCAGCCCCCCCCTTCAGTGTCCACCATATTGGATCAGTCCATTTGCTGCACATGTTCAGAAAGGTCCAAACAGACAGCAGCAAACCATTTGAAAACAAACCATGCAAAGAGCAGTGTTGCCAACTTAGCGCTTTAGTCGCTATATTTAGCCACTTTTCAGACCCCTCTAGCACTTTGATTTCTAAAAAGCTCCTAGCGCCAAATCTAGAGACTTTTTTCTGCTACTGGAGACTTTGGAGACAACATCTAAAAGCAGCGAACTCTGCTCTCCAGAGCGAGTAGATTGGTAACCCCGCCTCCTGCTCTCCTCTATCTTGTCTGCTGTCATGATTCATGCAGCTATTATTTCATCCAAATGAAAAATGGAGAACAGATAAGCAGATCATGGCTTGTCTACAGTGAAAAGAAGGACTGGGTTATTTACTTTGGCCTTTTTGGAAACATAGGAAGGAGCAATCAGCTAAGTGAGCTTAGTGCTTGGAAAAAATCTTTCATTCCTTTAGAGACAGCATGAAAAGTCAGCTGAGTACAAAACATAGAGAGGAAAACAAGAAGAAAAGGGACGAGAAGAGAGGGACACAACCTAGAACAGATAATGGATGTCTATTCTATTAACATTTCTCTATCTGTAGAATGGGGCTGTTCTATGTGTTGACTTCTCCATTCAGAGGGCCCCCTGCCTGTCTTTGCCAAGGGCCCCACATTTCCTAAATCCGCCCCTGGGCACACATTAACAAAAACAGAAACGACTTCCAGCTTCAGCTTTTAAAAGAGAAATTCTCAGGTTTTCTATCAAATCAAAATAATCCCCTCTTAACTAATTATTTTTGACTTGATTATTTGACATCTCAAACATAGTTTTTTATTTGGTAAGAGTTTTTTTTTAATCATTTTAACCCTTTATAGGACAAGTAACCGTTTTTGATCACTTGCATACCCCTTAGAAACGGACCCCCCCCCGTCCCTCAGTGAGATGGTAAATGGTAAATGTCCTGTACTTATATAGCGCCTTTATTCAAGTCAGGAGACTTGACCAAAGCGCTTTACACTACATTCATTCACCCATTCACACACACACTCACACACTGATGGTGGCAAGCTACATTGTAGCCACAGCTGCCCTGGGGCTCACTGACAGAAGCGGGGCTGCCGTACACTGGCGCCACCGGGCCCTCTGACCACCATCAGTAGACAATGCAGGTGAAGCATCTTGCCCAAGGACACAACGACACTGAAAGTCGGAGTTTGAACCGTCAACCCTTCGATTTCAGGACAAACTCCTACACCCAACGCCACTGTCGCTCACAGTGAGGTCTAGAAGCACAAGATCTATATCCAGTCATTCAGCAAAGATCCTGCTACAGTACATGGTTGTAGATCTTATTTTGGCATTTGACCAATTAGATGAGCCAAATTAGATGAGTCAAGAAAAAAGGTAAAAAGCTGATTGAAAAGTTAAAAAGGAAAGCTAAAGGGTTAATATGCTTCTAAGGTTAAAATTTGTTTTTCATGAATTTCTTAATATATTCGGGCAAGTTTGTGTTTCTTGTTATTACATTGACACAAATTTTTGCCATCAAAATATCCACAGTTTTTGAATGTTACAAAGATAATAAGGTATGGTGCTGGATTCCAATAACACACTACAAAAATTAGTAAAAATGTCTTAAAATAAGTGTATTTACCCTTAATTTAAGTAGGTAAATAAGTAAATCTCCCAGTGGAAGAAGCATTTTTATCCTTAAAATCAGATTATTTGATATTATGCACTTGGAATAGGAGACTGCACTTTTTTTCCTTATTTTAAATGTACTAAATTTAGTTATTCCATTTCTAAAGTGTCAAATTTACCTGCTCAATTCAAGAAAAAATCACAAATTTTAAGAGAAAATGACTTAGTTTAGATATTTAAAGTCTTTCACAGAGTGCCCTATAAAGGGTTAAAGTTTTCTTTTTCCTTTTTTGTGTCTTTTGGTTGCAGGAGCAGCTGCTTTAGATGCATTTCTTTGTAAGCATCAGTGGCTCAGATTAGGTCAGGGTGTGAATGAGCAGCCAGTAAAAAAAGTTGGAAAATATGATGATTTGCACTGCAAAAACGATCTAGAAATAAGTAAAGATTTCTTAAATTAAGTGTATTTACCCTTAATTTGAGTAGGTAAGTAAGAGGATTTGCCAATGAAATGAGTATTTTTATTTTATTTTAGATAAAATTCACTTGAAATAAGACAAAGCAATTGTTTTTTTTTCTTATTTTAAATGTAAATTATCTTGTTCTATTGGCAAAGTGTTTCACTTACCTCTTCAATTCAAGAAAAAAATGCACTTATTTTAAGAAAGAATTAAATTTTTTGCAGTGTGCCAATGGAATGAGCGTTTTTACCCTTTTTATTTGAACTCTTTACAGGGAAAGTTATTGTTTTTGATCCCCTTTACAAATGAGCACACCCCCAAACCCCCACCCCCCCGCCCCCCGGGCAATGTTAATACATTGCGATTCATATTTGCCATTAAATCCTCCATGTTTTTTGAATGTTCCAAAGATAAAAACGTCTTGTCCTGGATTCCAATAACACTTTTGGCCGGAAATTTTGATTTTCAAAGGATTTCACTGAGCACCCTATATGGGGTTAAATGTATATTAGTCGTGTTTTAATGGCAAAGTGTCTCACTTTCCTGCTCAATTCAAGAATAAATGCACATATTTAAAAAAAAAACTTGATGTATTTACGTTTTTTGCAGTGCAGGGAAGGTGGAGGAGCTGCAGGAGCTGCAGAGAATCAGAGACAGTTCTGCAGGCGGCAGCTGAAGCTCAGCCCAGGATGTGAAAATTATTTTCTTTTTGTTTGCATGACTCTTCTCTTTCCTGAGCTCTGTTCACATGGTGCCACGCTCTTATACTCTATATTTCTTCTCTTGTTTCTCATAATCATCAAATAAAATCCCAATGTGACCCTTTAGAGCTCCAACCCTGCAGGGAGCAACCAGGATTATAAAAAGCAGGCAGCTCTGCAGAACTTCTGTCCCTCCAATCATGATACTTGAAAGCTTCCCAGCTTGAGCAGGTGGTTCTGCAGCCTGACCTGCAACCCGGTGTCAGTGTCTGAAAGGCCCCCGCCGGCTCCCTGATCTCCACCGGCTGGATGACAGAGGAACAATTATTGCTCTAATTCTCTCGTCGATGCGGTTTTGTCTTACGAGGTCGATGATTGTCGTCGTTATCGCTGATCGATGCAGAGACACTTCATAA